CTTAGGACTCAAAGCTCCCTCCCATGATAGCCATGGTACCACCGTAACAAAAGCAGGTTTATAGTACGTCAAAATTTTTAAGTGTCCTAATATATCATTTGTAGGACTAAAAGAACTCTATCTAAAGACGTTATAATAAATTTATAGAACATTTTTTGGTATTTTTACAAGTTTTTTAGAACATTTTTAATATAAAATCGTCGCATTAACAATTTTTATAGGACACTATTTGGTAAAGTGTTCTATAAAAAAATGGTTTATAAAACATTTTCTCAGAATTATTTTATAAAATTGATAATGCGACGCTTTGTATTAAAATGTTCTAAAAAAACTTGTTAAAATGTCAAAAAAAATGTTTTGTAAACTTATTACAATGTCTTTACATAGTACGATTTATTTCTTGGTCATGTAATTTAAGTCTTGTAAAGTAGTTTATTAGAACACTTATAAATTGGTGTCGTCTTATAAACCCAATTTTGTTGTAGTGTAATGATATTGTAAGCATAGGTGCAGGTTATTAACCAAACCCCTAAACCATGGCATGCAAGATAGCTAATGGATTAATTAATGATCATTGATCAAATTAGGGTTACTTTTACCTTTTCTTAGTTACTTTTCATTGATCAAATTAGGGTTCTAAATTTCCTGTTCTTTTTGTTATTGTAATCCAAAAAGGAAGAAACTTTTGAGGACCCATTGATCCATAATCTTCTTGCATCTTTAAACATGTGATGATAACCACAATGGTCTTTGACCTAGCGGTACGCGAGTCATTGGCCTCCTAAGAGGTCGAGTGTTCAAACATCACCAAAGTTGAGGATGGTGCGTGAGTTTATTTGTTCTATTTACCGTATATAAATATTACATACTTAAAAAACATGGTCAACTAATCTCAGATTCTGATGGATTTTGGAGGGTTTCTTGAAAATCCCATATCGGTTGGGTTGAGAGGAGAAGAAAAGTTGTCTTATAACAGACTGAATACCTCATTTACGTTTTAAAACCGTGAGTTCAGATGTAAACAAAGCATACAGTACGGGTCACATGGGATACGATTTTTGTATTTTTATAAAGAACCAAAAAGATGCATCGATTATGGGGAATGTAAGTGATCAAGATTTAAATACTTTGGGTTATAACTTTTAAGAACAACAAAACATATATCCAAAGTATGGGGTGGCATTGGATTCTTGATTCAGTCTACTGGAAAGATTCCTGAAATGGTGCATAGAATTCAATAATACACTCATGACATATCTCAAATAAACATATATATATATATATATATATATTTTTTATAAGGTATGTAATTATATACCATAGAGAATAATTGAACAAACCTAGTATGAAGACTGTTACAGCAAGTAGGGTCTGAAAATGATAAAATGTATAGAAAAGATATAAAAAAGGATTAACAGATATAGAAGTTGTCTTTGTTTTATTCTGTAAATAGATAATGAGATACATTCAGATTGTTATTTAAGTTTTTTCTGATATAATTTAGATGAAGATTTCCACCGATATGCATGTAGGGCTAGGTTCAATTGAGAACCACATCTACATTGTGAATAAAGCTTGTGTCGGGGACATTCATCATGAATGTTGTAAGAAATTACGTTCGTTATTCATGATGAATATGGACATGTGATGCGGGTTTGATGTTTCTCTGATTCGCAATTGAAATGTCGTTCTCAACCGTATGGACACATGTCTCATTGACCACGTGAGACCAGTATATTTCCATGAGACCCGTGAGACCATTTTTTATATTTGGAACTTCATAGCAAAATGTTGTGAAGGCTCGACTTTTTTTTATTACTTTCACAGCATTTTGCTGTGAAGTTTCAAATATAAAAAACTAGTCTCACGAAAACATATTGCTGGTCTCATGTGAAACCAACCTTATATATATAGGAGATTTCATTTGCAAACCATGTTATTGTACAAACTCAATTCAACCAATCATAGTTTTTCATTTTGTTCATTTTTTGTAATTATGAGAGATCGATTAATCATTTTTATTGTGTAGGGTGTTAATCATTGATATTATGATCTTCATTATATTAATTTTAAGGAAATACCTGAAACAGTTTCATTAAAATTTCATAAGCATTATATGAAACAATTTCATGAAAAAATTTCATAAGATTAAATCGATAGATGAAGGTGGTTTGCCTGATTTCTACAAATATATGTTGTTTGCATTTGATCGCTCATATATATATATATATATATATATATATATAGACTTGGGATCATGTGAGACCAATGGTTTTTCGTGAGACCCGTAAGACCAATTTTCAACTCTTGAATTAGAACTATAATCTGACAATCTGAACATTCATAAACGCCACGAGACTTCTCAATAATCACAAAATTGTCACCGTACAACTTTAGACAATTAGATCATTAGCTTATAAAGTTGATCAATGAACATAAATTGATCTTACGGGTTTCACGAAAAACTTTTGGTCTCACGTGAACTCATCCCTATATATAT